CCTCAGAAACTTGCTCCTCAACGGGCACAATCGATATCACTGCCGCCAGTGTCCAATGACTCACAGTCTTCAGTCTTTCATCCCGACTTCAACGCTTCCGCGAGATCTAGGATCTCTCAAAATGGTTCAAGCGCTCAGGTGCAAAATCATCCAACCGCCTCTGAATCATCGACTGGCCGTGAGGATGGCCGGGAGCTAGAGAACCGTCTGGTGAAATTGATTGATGAAGAAGAACCGGACCGGCGCGAGATCCAACGAGGGGTGCGTGCGATCTACGTGGGCCATGATGTGTCGAATATGTCGTTCCTGCTCCGTCAACGAAGAGCTGACGATGGTGGTGACGATGTGTATCACTTTGCTGGCCACGAGATTCCACGGCGTCGCCTCGAGATTGGCCATGATCAACTGCTCCAGGATGCCCTAACTCTTCCGGAGCCGTCTCTAGCGGATGAATTGGTCGGAGCTTACTTTACTCACGTCAATCCAGGGTATCCAATTGTTGATGAAGATCTGTTTATGACTCAGTATCGGAATCGGGATCCTGCAGACCCACCCCCTATATTGCTTCTTCAAGCGATTCTTCTCGTTGGGGTTCATGTTACTCGCCAGCGACCGGACCGGGATGAGCTTAAGGCGGTCTTCTTTCGCCGCTGCAAGTGGCTTTTTGACAACCGAATCGAGCGGAATCGAGATATCCTCGTTCAAGTGGCACTGCTGTTAACTTGGCATTCCGACACCGTCGATGATGATGTCGCGGCCAACGCTCACTATTGGGTAGGAGTCGCAGCCAGGATTGCAACTGGCCTTGGGATGCATCGCGATCCCGTGTCAAGCAAGTTTGCCGCCAGCGACAGGCGGATGTGGAGGAGGGTGTGGTGGATTCTGGTTCAGTTCGATGTAATGGTTTCCCTGTCCTATGGGCGACCACAGGCCATGTAAGCATGCCTATTCATTCCTTCGAGTTTGGATGACCAGATGTGCTCATTCTACTTGCTATTCAGCAACCTCGAAGACAGCGATGTCCGCCCTCTTACACCCGAGGATTTTGTAGGATGTGGGCCTCTGGTACAGACTGACTACGTAATTCACTTCACGGAGCTTTGCACCATGATATCGTACATTCTTCGAGAACGTTTTGGCCTGCGAGTGAGTGCGGAACGCCGAAAAGCCGTCCTCCCCGAGGCAGACGAGGCTCTGGCCAATTGGTCACTCCGACTCCCTGACACTCTACGACTGCGCACCTCCGATATGGATACGTGGTCCGCAATGCTCCATCTGACTTATAATAACTTCCTGATCCTTCTGCATCGACCGCATCCGAGAGCGTCGGCCTATTCCGATGACTATGGGCCTCACGATGCGGAAATCTGCAGTGCCGCTGCGGGCGTGATCACGTCAATATTTGAAGAACTTCGCCAAAAGGACCGCATCAAATATCTGTGGTGTTCAGGCGTCTATACTTTGTTCACAGCTATGATTCAGGTTCGCGTCGAACTGCGGTTCTCGAATCCGGTGTTGGCCATCAACGCCCTTCGACGGTTTGACTCCACGATGCATTCTCTCCGGGCGCTGGCAGAATACTGGTCCAGCGCGGAGACTATTCTCCGGCTTTTTGAAAACTCCAAGCGTCTCAAGCAGGATCTGCGGATCGTCAGTAATGAGGCCCCGGATCACTTCAGCGTTCCGCGAAAGCAGAGTGCCAGCGGCGGTTCAACGTCCGACGTCTCTCCGTCCACCATGTCAGCGCCTCAGGCGAACGGGCAATCGCTACCACACCGTGAGCAGCCTCCGCCTCTCAGTCAAACCCCAAAGCCTCCGATGGGCCCATCTCCAGTTCCGCAGAGCGAGACTTGGATGGCTGGGCCGTCCCGGGGTGGCGTGAATCCTTTCGATCGTGCGGAGGACATGTCAGGCGTTCCGCCGGTCGCACCCATGGATCAGCCACGGGAGTACTTGGACTGGCGGCAGCTTTTCCCGTTTGCTGATTCCGACCAGCCTGGTCCCATGGCCATGGAAGGGCTTCCAGATATGGAGGATGAATGGCGACAGCTGTATTGGCAGGAGCCACCGATGTCAGATCTGTTTCAGGACGGCGGTTGGATGCATGGCTGACGGGATTTTTGATTCTCTATTTCCTAATCACAGTAACTCTTGCCCACGGGTATCAATGACTCTTTATGTCAATGATTTGCAAGCATGTCACCTTCCCGGATTTGCAACTTTCAGCTGCTGCCCTGGTTCTCCTTTCGCCGTGTTGGATAACGGTCCATGGAGAAGCATGCTTCGTATTCTGGACGTGCTGGTATAGAATACTGGCATATACGATGTACTGTACATTACATCTCATCTGGATAATTTGATACGACTAGGTATATAATAATTTGTTATTTTTTTTTCCCGTTCCAAGCAACTCAGTTGCTGAGACAGCGGTCTTCTTGCCATTCCGTCCAACTCCGGCTGGTCTTAAATAAGCCTGTTTTCTTCTATTTCCGGGGTCCTCGCCATATTAGCCAGCTAACTGCATCGCGACAGCCTGATCGCCCGTTTAGTGCCCTGCTATCCCCGTGTTGTTTCCACTCTCCGCCCCGCCGAATCAACCCCGCCAGCGTCCCGACTCGAGGAAGCTCTGTGTCACGCTTCGCTGACGAGGCAAATAGTCGGAAGATGGCCCATGAGGCTTTTCCCCCGGACAACCCATTCGCCCTGGGCGAGCTCTCCGCCAGCCTGCAGACCTCCCACGACGACGCTAGCGACCAGCACTACCAGGCCTATCTGGCTGCGCAGGCCCCTGCTGCGATATGGGGACATCCATATCAGAACGCTGGCGTGAATGCTGTCAAGCAGTCGTCCAGCTCAGGTGATTTCGGCGATGACCCTCCTGCCGAGGGCAGTGAGCCACGGCCTGAGCCGAAGAAGCGAAAGCGCAACAAGCCGACGCTGAGCTGTCGCGAATGTGTCGAGAAGAAGATCAAGGTTGGTTCTGTCTCCATTTAAGGTTTCTCTTTTTGCATGGTTACTGGTGCATCAGCTTCGTTTTCACACCATGGAATCTAACTTTCATCCATCAAGCCACTATCATTGAATCTGAGATGCAGCATCGAATAGCAAGTGCTAACAGTTTTAATTTGCTTTTCGACACGTGTTTAGTGCGATCGAGGCCGACCGCAGTATGTTTTGTCTCATACTCTCGCTTTCTTGGGCAATGACCAGTGTCACCGCCACGAGTTGCAGACTTGCTGAGGTATTTTCTTTCAATACAGCTGTCTTTCGTGTATCCGACGGGGAACGGAATGTGTCTATCGATTCAAAGCTGAATTGGTCGAGTACGTAGAACTACAGTCTCACCTGGACGTGATACTCCTCTTCTCCTCCCCTTCCTGATTATTGCTGCTTCATATCATCTCTGCTGATGAACGATTGAATCCTGGCTAACGCAGCGTAGCGAGAGTATTCGCCAGCCCACTGCGCGCCGTATTTACCCGCCCAAGCCGAAACACTCACACGCATCTTATCACAGTCCGCCTGCCTTAAACGTTGGTGAACAGGTGACGAATGCTTCTGTTGCTTATCTAGATACTGAGCTCCCGCTGACGTGACTGCACCAGGCCAAACCGGCCCTGTTTGTGCATCAAGGTGGCACCGATCTCTTACTGAGCCATGTTCCGTACACGGCGACGAATTCTAGCAACATTTTTGGCATTGGATCCGAGTATGCAGTCGTCGAACCTCCCATGCTTCCGCATTGCTGACAGGCAGGTCTATAGGTATCCGTTCAGTAATTACTGGACACTATCCGGCGGGTTGGCTGAGGTTATTTGCGTGCTTCCAAGAAAGGAGCAGGCAGATATGTACGCCCAAATCAGGTCTTTCAGTTGTCTTTAGTTGTCGTATTCCGTGCTCTAATTGTCTGCAGTCTGGTTGAAGTGTTCTTCGAGTCTGTTGATCCCGTTTATCCCCTGCTCAACAGAGAGCGGTTCTACATCGACTATGAAGGCTTCTGGGCCCTTGACAATGCCGAGAAGGCCAAGGTTGATGCTGACTTCCTTGCCCTCATCTTTATCGTACTAGCGATGGGCACACAATTCCTCAAAGTCCCGGGTTCAAAGACGATCGTTCCGCAGAACGAGACGGCCGAGTTCTACTCCAGCGCTTGCCACCAGAGCCTGCGGCTCTTCTCGTACCTGAACCGGACGTCGATCCGGGCCATTCAGTCGATGGTCTTCATGACTTACTTCTTGCTGAATTCCGGCCGCGCCTCCGACGGCTGGGCGTTCTCTGGCATCCTCGTCCGGCAAGCGTACGCAACAGGCTTGAATCGGGAACCGTCCCTGGTCAGTCCCCAGTTTACGCTGTTTGAACGTCTCGAGCGACGACGGCTCTGGCACGCGATTGTGTGTCAGGACAGTTTCATGAGCATGAGTCTGCGACTGCCGCCGGCGGCGACGCATTGCGACATTGACAATGCCGCGCCCCTGCGTGAGAACGACGACTCGTCCTTCACGGAAGGAAGCCCGGAGAGCATCAGCGAAGACCCTTTCAACGGACCCCGTGCCTCGGACCAGGGCTATGTCCAGAGCATGTATTCTCTCGCGTTGCTGGCGCAGGAGACCATTGCGACGCCGCGATCGCTGTCCCTGCCCATGGCATCGAACCCGCGCCAGCGCAGCTTACTCCTAGCGCGCTTCCGAGCAACCTACCGCTCGTTCCCGGACGCCTTCCGGGCGTGGGACGAGAGCCGCATCGCGACGCTGGTTCAGCAGGGCGAGAAGCGGCTGGTGCGGCAGATCATGTTCCTAACGGGTATATACTGGCACTGCATCACGCTGATCCAGAGCGAGGGGTTGGAGGAGGCATCGACCGAAGGCCGAGGAAACAGCGATGCGTCTTCTTCTTCTTCTTCTTCTTCTTCTAATGCTGCTATCAGAGGGACGCTCGAGGCAGCGTACGAGGCGATGAGAGCATTCTTTGTCATTCACTCGGTGCTGAAGGGAGAGGGCAGCGTGTGGTGGGCGTTTTGTCACCGCGCGTTTTCGGCAGCAGTACGTTGAAGCTCCCAGATAAAAAAATCTCGCATTGTTGCTTTGCTTTGCTAACTGTTGAACATCAAGATCATCGTCGCCAACCTGGTGAAACGACACGATGAGGAAGAGGCTTCGCGACAGCTGCAGTCGACCTCCACCAGCAGCTTAGGAACTGGAACCGACGCTGCTGCGGCTGCTGCTGCTGCTGCTGCGGCAGTGCCGCGTGGATCAAACGCACGACGATCAACAGCGATGGATCCCCTCTGGGAGCGCGCACGCGCGGATGTACTCCGAATGCTGGAGATCCTCAAGGGGCCAGCCCAACTGGGCGATGAAGGGGCGAAGACTCGCGTTGAGGTGCTAAGCAGTTATCTGGGATTGGGGAAGTAGCGCTTTCTCATGATCTCATCTATGGGCCATATATATGTATGCATGTTACGAGGTAATGAGTAATGATGATAACGAGGACTAAAAAATATTTATTTATTTATTTGCATTATTACTCGTTCACTCTGTCACATATCCTGTCCGGTCTTGATAAGCTTACTCCTGGAGAGAAGAATTTCTTCAAATCGAAATAAATAGTCCCTATGTATGTTCATACGTATGCACCGGACTTTGACGAGAGATTATTATGCTCTATCTCTCCCTTTCCATTTCATTTTACTAAAGTGCTTGCTCAGTAGAACTTGCCACTTTTTTTTTTGCTCACTCAGGTAGAAGATCACTGAGTATGAGAGAGTAACGTTGTTCCCCCTGTTTAATTAATAGCGCTTTTTGATTTTGATTGAGTGAGTCACAGTCGCTTCTTCGAACCATGGACGATATCCAGGCATGCGATAAGTTACTCCCGTAAGTAACTGCCTGAGACTCGGTACATACCTAGGCTGCCTGACTGCCTGCCTTGCCTGCCACGTGACACCCACGGCATATAAAATAAATCTAAGCCTTCCATCTCTCTGCTCTCTCAGATATCTCTTAGAGAAATCAAGTCACCTTCTTTCTTCATGTTCCTCACTCCCCTGGCCTCAAGAATTACTAACCTTCATGCATCACCAGATACATGTTGACAGCTGAGCTGATCTTCGCTGAGCCAGGTGCCGGTGCCGGCCTGTCTGTCAGCCATAACTTTCGTTGACAGTATGATGAATGACTTCAAGACTCGGAATGCTGCCTGCCTGCCTGATGAGAAGAGAATGTGGTCGTTGATGTCATTGACCCTTGCATTCGAACGAGATTCTGCTGAAAAAAAATCTTCCCATGGACTGAGTGCAACAGCAGTGATGAACTTTGCTCACTACCAGCGAAGAACACTGTGCTGTGGGGATGAACAGCCTCCATTCACATGCCGATTCAGCATCCCAGACTGATAATTAATTTCATTTTAAGAATCTTAATAGATGCTAACTCCTCTGATGCTACTGTGAATGGTTGTGCTGACCTGAGAAGGGTTGGAGATACTCGACATTCATCACTTCAACAGAGGGGATACTGTCAAGATTCTACAAGTGATCTTCTTTTTCCCCTTGATGACCAGGGTTTCTGAGAGACTATGCATGCGCATGATGACAGCTAATAGTATCTATCTATTACCTTCCGTATTGACTGAGATTTGTATGTACTTGGTCCTGTGCTTGACTCCTGACATGCTGTCGAGCCTGACTCACGCAATCCAACAGCCAGCAGCTCCATCTTATTCAAGTTATGGATCTCCGGCATCGACAACGCCTCAGCTTCTTGAACTCCATTGCCGGGCATATGTGTATGCTTTGAGAGATTCTGGATGATGATTGTGCCGTAGAACATTCAATCCAGAGTCGGAATGCTGGTAGAGTTCGCTATTTTCAAATTATTGGCAGATGTTGCTGACTCTTTGGCAGTTAGAGATTATGTCATTGCTCCATTCAACCATCGCTGAGCATCATACTGTGACTCTATCCTTGGCCGGGGACTCGGATAATAACAGGATAATCACTTGCCTTAATGATGAACCGGGACGTCATGAGCTTGATCCTCTTTTAGAGGCAAGACCAGTCCATTACTGAAAGGCACAAACAAAAGTCAGCCGAAGCTGAGCATCATAGGACCCTGTTGGTTTTTTCTCTTCAGCCGGAGCCTCAAAACGGGAGCCTAATCACTTGCCTTGATGATGCATTGGGGAACTGTGAACTTGATCCCTACTGAAAGGCATTACCAAAAGTCAGCCCTATTGGTTTTTTCTTCCGGCCGACGCCTCGCAACTGGAGATCTAACCACTTGCCTTGATGATGCATCTTGACGAGCCATGGCCTATTCAACGAAAGGAAATGACCGACTAGGGATGAAGTCCATTTACCGTGGAGGTTTCGCCGAACGAATTCCATCGTGGTCTGAAGACTGAGGTCGAGAAGAAACGAATCTGTTTGAACAATCGTGCTCACAAATACTGAAATAATCAGAAAAAAAAATGAGGAGATGAGATCGGTCGATGAAGACAAAGCAGAGGCCTGGGATTTATTATCATGAGGAAAACAAACCCTTTCGCGCCTTCCTTGATTCTATCAGAATACGAAAGGGGATGTTACGATGCTGCTACTACTACTTAGAGGCGCCCATCGACACCTTCCTGAGAATCGCCATCGTTCTAAAATTCTAAACGGCAAGCTGTCATTGCGCCCGATGGTATGAGGCAAGTGCAGCACACTCTGATGCAACTGGAAGTATTGCTACTACTGCCTAGAAAACGAAGGGGCTGCTCCCAACTAGTTGGAATGGACCTGCATATGTATATCAATCCCATAAATATGAAAACTCCATAGTTTGGAAATGGGCTCAGCTGCAATCATAGGGTGTTAACGAACATCACTCTAGGTACTGTACTAACGTGAGTCGAGAGACTGGACCACGCTTGTAACTTCCTTTTTTTTTTTTTTCATCGAGTCCCAAGACAGTGCTTTTCGCGTAGGTGGATTGTAGCAGGGGCATAGCATACGGAGTAGGAGTAAGGGGATCGTTCCATAGATATATATGTACTCCTTAGCTGTAGAGCTTGGTGTTCGTACATCTAAAATGTAAATAAATATCATAAGAGTTTCTACCGCGAGTATATACAGATAATAACTCAAGTTTACCTTCACATAGTAGTAGTGTCTTCTCAAGATACAGGAACAGCTCAATCAGCGTCATCAATATGACACTCTAGAAGATAAGCCCTAACTTGGGAATATTAGAGAAGGGGAAAAGAAAAAATCTACATCTAAACACTGCGAATACTCCTTTTAGAACTTTATTTAAGTCACTCAATAAGTACTCAATCCACAAGAGCATACATACATACATACAATCAGTATATATATGAAACAAAAGCGAGTTATTATATATACATATGTGATGGCGGGAGCATTAGGACCTTTAGTAAAAAACAAAAATGATTTGTTTTCATAATATCACCCACTTTGTGTAAATAAAGATCTACATAATTTTCTGGTGTATGTATGTACATAGCTCTTTCACTTGATCGATATAAATATTTATCTTTTCCCACGTATAGTCTACATGGCCTCTAGTTGATAACAACTTTCTACACATCACTTATAAGATCTATACTTCCAGGGTTACTTAGGGTTAGAAGATAACTTTCCATGTATATGCATCTATCTCATGGATAATGTCTATATATAATTATAGCTTCATGGAGATATCAGCATCATCAACAATAATCCCCATTTTGCTTCCTCCTCTGAAATTGCCACACAGGCGAGGAATAATAAACTTCACCAACTCTTTTTCTTGCGTCATGTTCTCTTTCGAGCAGTACAGTATCATCACTGCAAGGGCCCATGCTGCAGAATGCTCACTGAACAAGAGACTGAGCGCCCTCATTAAAGCGGATGTATAGAGTATATTTACAATAGTCTCTCTACGTGTATGCTGGCAACTTCTACCCATAGACAAACCGCCTCCAGTTCTCCGCCAGCTGCTTGACACCCTGCTCGAGCGTCCACCCTCGCACCTTGCAGACCGTGCGGGCCACCTCCTCGAGCAGAGCATCCATCTGCTCCCCGGCGCAGTGGAAATCGCTCTCGATGAGGATGCGGTCGTCCGGCAGCGCCCGGATCACCTCCGCCACCTTGTCGAACGGGTGGTAGGATGTGAAGTTGATGACGACTGAGAAGGAGAAGTAGACGTCCGAGGGTACTGTTTGGTGGAGCCACCGTTTCAGGGGTTCCAGGGGGCCGGTGTAGGAGTGCAGGCAGATGCGCGGTGGAAAGGGGAGAGGTGATGATTCTTTTGACTTTTGCTCGTCTTTCTCTTCTTCTTCTTCTGCTTGTCGAGCTGCTTCAGCGCGGCGACGTTTCCTCTCGCGTCGGGATGGCATCTCATGCCCGCGCCAGAGCTCCTGCAGCAGGTCAAACACGGCGCCGTGAGTCTGGACGCTGTGGATGGAGACCGGCCGGCGCAGCTCGCCCGCGAGCTGCAGCTGCGCCTTCAGCAGCGCCCTCTGATGGCTCATGGCCACGCGGTAGACGGACAGCGAGCGGCCTTCGCGCGCGCCAGGCGTAATGCTGGGGTCGCGTGCCTCGAGCTCGTGCGGCTGCCAGACATTGGGCAAGCGAAAGGCCTTGTCGAGCCCGATCTCGCCGACGAGAGCGTCCGGGTGCGCGAGCAGGCGGGCGCGCGTCTCGGCGAGCAGCGTCGACAGCGGCTTCGGGTCTGGCAACGCGAGGAAGAAAGCGTCGTCGTCGGCCGTCGACCCCGTGAGGACACTCCGGTAGTGAGCGATCTTGGACGGCGGAGTGTTGGTGGTGGTGGCAGGCGAGGAGAGATCATCGTAGATCTGATGCGCAAACCACGGATGCCAGCCGAAGCAGGGCACGACCCGCGCGGCGGCGGCAGCAACAGCAGCGTCTTGCTTCTGGTCTTGCACATCGTGCGATTGTGATTTCCTGCCCAGTTTGGACGCAACCTCCTCGACGAGATGCTGGTCTTCGCCGCGGGAGGCCATGATGGTGAGGGCGGCGGCCTTCATGTGCGGGATGGCGGCGATGGCCGACATGGTGTCGGTAGGATGGCAGTGCGCGTCAAAGACGCCCAGCTGCCAGGGGAATTCATCGCTGCTGGCGCTGCTGCTGGCCATGATGGATTGTCTGGTGCAGTCATGCCCTTCTTTTGTTATCGCCGTGATAAAGTGTGGGGTAGAATAGTAGATGTTGGTTTAGTCAGTTTCCCTATGACATAACTCAGCCGAACCGACATATTTTAATGGATCCACGGTAGAGAAACACCTGATAGAGTGAGGCTGTAACTCTAACAATCAACAGCATATATTTATTGCTCTGCTTGCATAAAGCAGTTCACCACATGTATTTGAAATTAAACCGCATTATATAGAGTGCATAATATCCATTGCACAACTGACAAATAGGCATGTCTGACCCTGGTCTGGTCACATGAGAGCAGCGTCCTGGCGTATATCATCCAACGACAGAAGATCTCATCAATTATTCATTCTGCTCAAAAAATGACTATTCATCCACAATGTCCTAATTTTATAGCTGCACCATGTTAACATCCATTATTTCCACCCTCTTCGTCCTCCCTCTCCTCCTTCTCTTCTCCATCCCGCTCGTCTTATCAGCCTGCCTTACGATAACCCTTGCCGCCATCACCCTGCTCGTGCGAGTGTCGATGGTCTACGTTGAGTTGGCTGGCGCGCTTCTCATGGATTTTTTCTCCTCCGTAAATGATGATTCCGCTTTTTACTTTTCGGAGGAAAATGCATGTACTCCCGGTGGTTCGCCTCAAGTCAGTTCTTCTTTTCTTCTTCTATCTATTTTCTAGAGGAACGATCAAATGACAGCAGCAGCAGCAGTATCATGAAAAGTTGGCATTGACGCCATCGCAAGAACTGTCTTCTTGGTCTTCGTCTTCGTTCTTCATCAACTTCATCAGCGACAACAGGAAAACTCCTCCCAACTCGATCAGCCCGGAGGGTAGTGGCATTGACAACGGCACCGGCATTGGCATTGGCATTGATGCTGACGACCAAACCTGGCTGTCTATCACCAAGCGTCGACGACACCGGCGATCCGTCACCACGTCGTCTCTCGTCTCTCATCTGTCGTCGACAGGACATGGGCCTCTCCAATCCTCTAGATCGATTTCAGCTAATAGTCTCGAGGCGTTTGTACAGTCTGGACGCCCACTGGCACTGTCCATGACACACTCTTATTCTGCAGGTAGCAGTAGCAGACCTCTTTTTGTCCAACGACAGAGAAGAAGAAGACGAAGCTGTTCGTCTGGTCCGACGTGAGGTGACCTAAATCATGTACAGTACAGTACATCTATCATGAAGATATGAAGATATCAACCTTGACATATTTATGTATATCATACAGATTGGACAAATTAATACTATCTACAGCAGAGCAGAAGATGACTTTAAAAGGTTACCCCTTTTGGCTTTTTGATAGGCAGAAATTGAACTGTGAAGAATGAAATCACTCATACACACATACATACGTACTAATATCTTGGTATTTAAACCAAACCATCTTGACAATAAACAAATAAATAAATAAATTCCTAGGCAGATACCTAGGTAGGTAAGTTATATATACGTCAGGTTAGGTCTGTATCTGTATATATGTTCTGTACAAATACGAAGCCAGACAAAATCGTCCACAATTCGTCATTAAATTAAATTAGATTAATTACAATAGTTGGGGAAAAAAAGTTGTATATCATCTGGACGTTTCTCCAGGCAAAAAAAAAGGAATGAAATAATTGGCTTGATGGGTATTTTGACCAAAAAGAGGAGTTTAGGACAAAGAAGAAAGACGAGACAAAACCAGCTCTACCTACATATGTAGGTAGGTATCTATTTAAATTGTCTATTTACTTGATCGAATTGAAATTGAAATGGAAAATGAAATGGTATCGATCAGATGTGATGAGATAAACTTGAGACATTGAAAAAACAGATCTGTCCGACAACCCCAAAAAAGATAGCAAGAAAGAATCAAAGAGAAAGAATGGGAGCACATATCAACGTAAGATAGCCATAATCCCGTAAAAAAAAATCCAAAATCAAGTAGCAAGGTGGTGACGACTACCGATTACTCTGCCTCTGCCTCTGCTTCTCCTCTCTCCGTCGCACATCCTCCATCTCCTCCAGGACTACCTCGTTGAACTCCTCCCACGCGTCCAGGAACAGGTGGTGGCCCGCTTTCTTGATGATGATCACCTTCGCCGAGCCGTTGTCCGCTTCGCGCTCCTCCGGACTGGCGTTGCGGAGGATACGGCGCTTCTCTTCTTCAATCTTCGCCTTGGCCGCGTAGCCTCCCCGCGCGTCCATCCAGTCGTGGTCGCCGTACATGAAGACGATGGGGATGCCGTTTTCCCGCTTCGGAGGCGCCGACGATGAAGATGATGACGTGGCAGAAGATGCTGAGCTGGAAAGAGAAGTGAAAGAATCTGACGATGAAGATGCCGCAGAATCTGCAGCTTCTGCTGACGACTGTCGGATGATCTGCCGTCCTACGCCGTGAATCCGGCGGATCAACGGGCTCCGTGCGTATGCCCCCGGAGCCAAGATGTAGGCCAGCGCATACTCTCCACTACCACGAAGTCGGAATATGGAGTACGAGTACTCGTGAAGAGCCTGGGCCTCGGCGGGAGGCAAATGCGAAAACCGTCGATGCGTCCAGCCAGATACCAGGCGCGGCCCCAGTGGTCCCGACCAACGGACCAGGGTGAACGGCGAAACATTGGCATCCCAGAGATAGGTGAACCATCGTGGAAGCTGTCTGCGAGGAACGGTCATTGTGCCGGAGATTTCGGGATCGCCTCTCTTGCTATTCCCGGCGATATCCTCTTGATCTTGGGTGAACTCGTTGGACAAGGACGACTCTGACGGCTCTGGCAGATCCTCGTTCGTTGCGTAGGGATTCTCAGGAATGCCCACCGGGGAGGCCAGGATGAGCTTGTTGAGGTGGCCTGGATATTTCAGAGCGTAGGCGACGGCCATGTATCCTCCCAGACTGTGGCCCATCAACGTGAAACGTTCGATTTTCCGCTTCACCCGCCACTCTTCGAGCGCATCGATAAACCAATCCTCCGCTTCTTTGACCGCTTCCAGGCGGTCCTTGGCCTTGATCTTGAACGGCGGACGGGTGCTACGGCCCATCCCCAGCATGTCGAGCGCGTACAGACGCCAGCCCTTGGCGCGAGACAGAGGCTCAAAGTTCTTGTAAAACATGCCCAGTCCAATCCCGTATCCATGCAGAATGACCAGATTATGCTCCGTCTTCTCGCCCACGCGCTCGACGGAGAACTCGTTCAAAGCCCGATCCTTGCCACTCAGCTCGACCATACGCGACCGCCAGAGTCGAGGCCCGTACGGGTCATTAACCGAATTGGCCGTCTCCTCGCCTTTCTGGCTGTGATCGACCGCCCGGAGACTGTCGGTGCCGCCATTGGAAGCATCCGGGCTGTCTGCTGTGTTTCCCGTCTGGCGCTGCGTGGGAGCCTGCTGGAGATAGGGCATGAAGGACAGGACCTTTTGTTCGGCTGCAGCAGCAGGGATTTTGGCCCACTGGTGGAAGACAGCCGTCAGCACTTGACGATACTGTTCTCATCTCAATTGCAGACTTTCACCTACCCATTGGCTGAACCCCTCCTTATAGCTTAGAGGAAACCATCCCGACGTAGAACTCGGTCGGACCGAGTAGGGCTCTTTGGCCTGCTTGCGCGGGCGCGCCTCTTCATCAGACTGGCTCAGGGTCTCGGACGTCATCGAGATAGGGTATTGCGGAGAGGACGAAGGAGATTCTGCCGAGGAATATGGCTGCCCGCGACGGATGGGCGACGGGACAGGCAGCGTGGCATCTATTGACCCCCAGGGTCGAGAGACGTGCAGCAGAGGAAGCGAACCAACGCGCCCTGAGTACAGCTTGGAGAGAGTAGGGGGAGTGACAGAGATGCTCTGCCACTCAGTCTGCACAGCCAGGAACCTGGGACCATATATGGAGCGGGGGGGCAGGGGGTGGCGTTGGGATTTGGCCGCGGCACGCAGACGGCGGAGGCAGCAGGCAGCAGAAACACGCGGACCAGCAATAGCGTCGTTTATTCTGCACAATGGTCTGGCTCAGCTAGCTTCACTTCTCCGGTGCCATTGGCATCGCACAGGCATCAGCTGGAGCGTGGCAGAGTGGCATTAGATGCGGACTTAACGGCGGACTTTGGCTGACCGCCTTGTCTGCTGCTTTCTCCACCCGACTCCGTGGAGGGAATCGGGATGCCAGCACTCTGTCCCTGGCCGCAAGTCTAGACTGAACAGCAAGACCACCTCCACGCAGCCTGTCCTTCGCGAAAGACAGCTCCGCTGCTCATGACCGGTGATGCCGTAGGCTTCTGGCCTCCGGTGGCCGCGAGATCGCTGCGTTGACAGCCTACGCTGATTCCGCTCATTCATCCATGCAGACCAGACCAGACCACGACCACGACGCATTCGCATCTGAAATATCCGGACTCTCATCGACATGACCTCCCGTCTGGATCAGCTCGTCAAAGGCGCCCCAGCTGTGGACGCCCAGGCGCCCGCTGAATCGCTTGCTCCGCTGCCCAAGTCCTACCTGCAGGGCTCGTCGGCCGCCTCCGAGTCGCGGCCATCGACTCCGGATCCTCTTTCGACCCTACCGTCGTCGCCGCCGCAGATCTATCTGAACCTGCTGATTCTGGAGTGCTCTCTGCGCGCCCAATATCTTGCGCTGCGCGAGCGTCGCCGCCAGAACACCTTCTTCCTCACGCTGCTGGCCCTGTGGATTGCCTACTTCTTCTACGCGCTGTTCCTGCGGCCGCGCGAAGATGGCCGCGGGGTGGGTGGCTCCGTATACTGGATGGTGGAGATGGGAGAGAAGGTCGCCCTCATGGGAGGCATCGTCACGGGCATTCTTGTCTGGGGCACAGGACAGTGGGAACGCGGAGTGCGCTGGCCACGGCGCTGGCTGACAGTCGCCAACCGCGGCCTCCGCGCGATGAACACCAAGATTGTGGTGATCCGGGGGCCTTGGTGGCAGGAGTTGCTGTCCTACCTGTCATTTATCTTCCCATGGCAGTCGTTATTTCATTCTCCGAACAATTATCACTACGTCGAGTTGTCTCCATCCGAGAGGCGGGCCAATCGGCAGCATCACTCGGTCTACGAGGATGACAGTGAAGCCGGCGTGATCGAAGAAGACCTGTCTCCGGGGGGAGACTATATCCGGTTGCTACTGCTGCCCAAGGCGTTTTCCGCGGAATTTCGGGAGAACTGGGACGAGTACCGCGCGGATTACTGGGAGAAGGAGAACGAGCGACGGGCGCAGCTCCGCAAGAAGATCTACGAGCGAGAACGCCAGTTGGCGCGACAGGAGGGAGGCTGGTTCTGGTGGCTGCCCTTCCGACGGTCCCGACGACGGAAGATCAGGCTGGGCGACAGTCACCACCAGGGCAGTTCTGGCAAGAACCAAGATGGCAAATCCCGTCGCAGCACGCGATCCAACTCGCACTCGCACCATTCACGAGCGTCTTCCTCCCGCGGTTCGACCCCCGTCGACGGCGGGAGCTTGGCTCCGCCGGATCAGCAGCAGGGCCATCAGCGGCGGAAGAAAGCGTCGAGGTCATCTACTTCGTCGAGAGGGCAGTCTCCGTTGACTGCTGCGCCCCAGGTGCGGGAGTCCACGCCGTCATCAGTCTCGTCTACTGCGTCTGATGATTCGTCTTCTCTTGGGGGGAATGAAAAGCGGGCGACGCCGGAGGCAACTACAATAGAAAGTACATGAGATGAACGATAGAAGTTTTTCATTTATTATTATTTTTTTTCTCTCTTTGAGTTTCAATATTGATCTGTTGTTTGCGAGTAGAGTAAAAAAAAAAGAAAAGAAAAAAAGAAAAGCAGAAAAAGCAGAAAAGAAGAAGGAAGGGGGCAAAAAAAAGACCACTTCGATGGTGTCTTAGAAGAACCCTGACCAGAAAAAAAAAGAAACTTGTCGAAAGCAGTGACAGAAAAAAGAAGCTCCTTCTTGTCTTTGGTATGTAGATATTGCCCAAATTCTCAGACCTGTGTGAGAGTGTGTCTGTACTGTAGTAGATGGAGAGGTGAGATTTGACCAAGAAGAGCTGGTACCAGGAAATATATATATTCGTTGTTCCCGTCCACTCTCTTCTGCTTATCGTTGTTGAGTCTCAATCGAATGATTAATTCAAGGGTTCGTACCTGCTGTATTTTCTATATACTATGTCATCGACCAGCCAGATGCTGAAAATAAAAATAAAAATAAAAATACAAATAAAAAAAAGAGTCTTATATTAGATGCGATGACCATTTCTTGCGTTGCAAGTACAGACATAATTCCATTGAAATTTGAATAGAGAGGCAGGCTCTGCAGCAATTAGTCAAAAAGGTCTTTTTTAAATCTTTTTACAGCGTTTCTTGACATTAGAATAAATTTTTTAAAAGTGTCTTGGTAGAGAGAAATACCATACCGTGGCATCCTGCATGACAAATTTGATCTGTGACTGGAGAGCCATGGTTGCTATTAATAATTTTGATTCCTTCAGCAAGATCGCTTACAGCAATCGATCAGAAGAACCCATCCTGCCAATGGTGCAGCTCTTCCAGCAGCGGCACAACAACATTATCTACTATAACCTGCCGAAACGCGGGTTCCTCGAGGTCCGCGTCAGGGTTTACAAATTCCTTCATGCAGAAAGTGACCGCGTCCTTGAAGGCAAACGACAGGTTCCCCTCCTCGCTTGATCCAGCGCTTGAGAGCCAGCAGATCAGTGGCCTCGTTGACCAGCGCATTAGGCCCGAGGTCTTCGGGCTGTCGGTGATTCTCGATGCTGTCGTCCAAGCGGATCTCGAGGAGGATCTTGGCAAGAGTAAGAAGGTTGACGCTGCTGCCATGCGTGGATGGTGTTTTGGAACGCCATATCGTGGCCGTAGGGTTTGTCGTCTGCTGGTAATTTTTCATCACATAGGGATAGCGTACATTGACATGGTGTTGTCCCTGCCTGCTAGCGGTTTTGAAAAACACGACATCATTCTTGCTCCAGAGGTCACCTAGCCAAGGGGTCTTATGGAGCTGTAAAAAAGATGATGCAAGAGTCACCGAGAGGATGTACCGTTCTTCGTTGGTCAACGGCGGCATCCGCTTCGAACGGGAGCAGCGTAGCAGGTCTGCAGAGATCTTCGATGACTTCCAGACCAGAAAGATTCGACGAGGGTGTTGAGGCTTCTGCCGGAGTCACCACGAATGAAAGCCGGCCAGTTTTGCTACACCACAGCCACGTCAGTCACTCACATTCACTATGAAGTAAGTGTAGGAGCAAAAAGAAACCGTTATACCTTTGCCAGACCTTCGTCGTCTCACGCACCTGTATTTCGGTGTCGTACCACTTCGTCGGCAGGGATGGACTATTGAAGGATATCCTGAAATTCGTGGATGCATCATCCTCTCTGACAGCTTTCTGTTTCTTCCGTTTTGGTGACCTCCTGCGATGCTCTATGAGCAGGCTGGCGTAATGAGAAGTGTGGGCAGTGCATCTCCACGCCTGAGACAAGCTGCGATGGAGATTGTCTGCGCACTCCTGGATTTGCTCGAGGGGCATCATCAGCGTCAGCTGCCGGCTGCTCTTGGTTGTTACGGGCGCCTCCTCTCCTCTTGCTTTGTCGATGAATTTGTCCAATCGCTGATTGCAGCCTTTTATGTCCTTTAGTGACCGTCCTATGTCCTTTCTCTTCATGGTAAACCTGATTCTCCTCCTAAACTCGTAGCGGGGAGGGCCTTGAGAAGGATTCGAGACAGGCTGATTAGCACAAATGATCGCCTGGAGACCATCACTGGATATGGCCTACTCATCAAGTGTGAATTCATGAGCGGTTCAACTTGTCTGGTCTTGGATATGCAACGTATGTACTGTACATACATTTTGCCGGTCAATGTCCAGGTGGTTCGACAGGGTCCTCATATGCTCCTGCATTTCCTGGATCGTGTAGACATACACCTTGTACGCCTTTCCCAGCTTTGCCTCGCGCAATGCTTTATAGAGTTCATCCTTCCATTTGAAGAAAATCCAAGCGCGGTCGTGATTGCCTTCGTAGTGCTCGAGCGCGGAGATAATTAAGGGTAGAGTTCCGAGCACCAAGCCTGCAACCTCAATACCAGACATTGTGGACTCGTCTGCTCTGCTGCCCATGAATGAATAGAGGAGAAACAAAGAGCAAAGAACACAGGGAGTCACCCACAAGGCTCAAGAGAGGCCAGAGCGGGGTTGATGTTGCGCGCTCAACCGCAGGAGTGAACCCCCCGTCCAGTCGTCGACGTGTAGTCTTGCTTCGACATAGTCTCCTTGAATGATCGATACCACCAAGCCTGACCACAGTGGATAGCTTCCTTGCAGCCTAAAAATTCTTTGTGCTCGTGCAAGTTCTCTCGTCCTGCTTTAATGGCGCAGATCGCCACAACTAGCCGGGAAATGTCTCCTGTTCTTCAGCCAGCTGTGTTCCGAGCTCAACACAAGACAAGAGATGTATTTGGAGGATATGCCACTGGTTTCTGTTTCAAGATCAGCATGGGCGCTTCAAAGTGTGGTGTGGGAACCTTGGAGCCTTGCAGATGGGGCACAGCTCACTGGACTTTCAGCTGCGAGAGTCTGGCATCATGCAGTCTAACGTAATCAAGCTGTTGCAGCATTTGCAATTCACGCTCTCAGAATGTACGTCCTAGATCGAGCTTGGATGGGGATCGATATTGTCGGGCAACTGACGACTGATGGCTACCAGGTATTGCGGTCGTGTCAGGAGCAAGACTTCCCTTCGAGCAGCAAGTCAGACCGGACAACGTGAGTGACGACGACCTAACAGATGAATCCGAAGATGAAGAGAAGCCGGGAGCAACGAAGGAGCTTTCGATGCGCCTGGAAAGCATTGGGGACATCATCAATAGCCTCTATAGACTCAGCTTCAAGATCCGAAACCCTGACCTCAGATTCAAGTCGCTGAAGCCGCGCCTATATCGAGAGGTCGATCCCGAAACCAATACGGATCTGTTTTCTCAATTCGAGATACACGATCAGCAGCATGTAATCGACCTCATTCTTGACCTCCGAAAGGATAGAGTGCCCCCTGAGGGGTTCAACGACTACATGGTGCCTCGTCTCGCGGCAGCCCTCACGCTCCGCCGAAGGTATTTCAAGTACTGGGAGAAACACTCCCAGAAGCTGGCAGCAGGTCTCCAGCTGGATGTCTCAAACCTTGTGTCCAGTCCAGCCGAATCGCTCAACAAAGTCGCTGTTGAGAGGGAGCAAAATCCCACCAGGCCTTCTCAGCTCGATGCCGAGAATAAAACTCTTCTATCAGGAACAGAAGCCTCAAAGTATAATTCAGCCCTAGATGAAATGACCGAAAAGGGAACAGTGGTGTCTTACGCCTCGACAGCCATTGATAGCGAAGGAGGAGTACTGGAGTTTCCGGCTCCTCCAGCAGAGGCAGTCGCTGGCAAGGATTTTCTCTGTCCTTTTTGCTTCGTCTTATGTCCCGCAAAGCGCGGCAAAGGGAAGGCTTGGAAGTAGGTCGATTCTCCTGCAACAGTGAACAGGGTGGCACTTAGTTGTGGACTAACATGGTGAAAGAGCACATGTATTACGTGACCTGCAGCCCTACATTTGCACCTACGAAAGCTGCCCGCAGCCAGATCAACTCTTCAATAGTCGACAGCTCTGGGTCGAGCATGAGAATATCTTTCATCGGCGTGTCTGGCGTTGCCATGAACATCCCGTCCTTCTCTACCACTCTCCTGAATCCCTGGTCGCTCACCTGCACCGAGAACACACTGACTCCATGACTGAGAGGCAGATTGAAGGCTTAGTCGACATCTGCGTAACCAGCCTTGTCGACGATCGCCCTGTCTGCCCGATCTGCCTTGCTACAGGTGGTTCTTTTGATGACGACAGCTTCGAGAACCACCTGGCACATCATCAGGAGCGGATTGCCTTGTTCGCGCTTCCTCGAAGCATTACAGTGGACGATGACTCGACCGATCAAAGTAAGAACTCATTACAAGTGCTAGGAGCTGGGTCGGAGTGTCTACAGGAGACCGAGCCATTTGACCTGACCATGGTTCAAGACCTTCGTTTTCTCTTCAATATTACTCCTGTCAAAATCAGAACAAACTTACCAGAAAGACGAGTACCTCCAGATAATCGCTGGATGCCTCCTTTGACGTACAACTGCTTCTCCCTCGACCACGAAAATAGTACTGGGTGGCACAGATGGACCGCCAATGGCATTGAATCACTGCAGAACCTTCCACCTGGCGTGGAAGCGGGATGTGACACATGCTCTATCTTCTTCGACTCTGAATGCGGTCGTTTCATTGTCACCAATGCCGACTGTTCCCTTAAGGATCTGAGCGATATTGCATGGAAGCGTAACCCCCTGTCAGTAGGTTGGAGCCGGGTCGGCTTTGATCATGCGTTGTTATCAAATAATCAGCAGCTATCCATCGTATCGTTTTACCCTTACGAGAGTTATAACCTAAGCGCTCGAGGTTCCCCGATTTGGATGCCTCAGTTAATTCCCCCTATATACGACAATCCACGTGCAGACAAGTATACTAGCCTTGCCGGGGAATCATCGATCTCGCTGGGATTTGCTGCATTCGCATGTGAGCCACTAAAAGCAGACATGCTCACGACAATTGAGAGAAGTTTCCGCCTTCCTTACTGGATTCCTTCTTCTTCCACCTGGCCTTCGACTAGTAAGTCATTACTGTTCTTCCTTTTCTCATCAATGGAAATATTTACCGGTGGCTAATAATAAGTCTTGTGCAGAATCTCTTCCTCGCTGTCACACGCAGGGGCTCATCGTGAAAATAGCACCAGGTCCGTCTTCGAGCATTGGACGAGTTGAGCTGACGGATTTCATGCATGGTAAATTTGGGCCATTGATCAAAGCCTGACGAAAGAGATGATGACGATGTTGTTGTTGTTGCTGTTGAATTCTGACACCTAGCGAATATAGAATAGCGACTGACGCGCTGACAAGGTCCCCTTCTCCGAAATGAGGTTGGATATCTAATCCGGAGATCATCAACTCATATTCTACAGTACATCTCTGCAAGAATATATATTTTATAAGAGCTGCCTTTCATCATCTGAAAACACAAAATGACGATTCACTTCACAAGGGGTCTAGGCGAGCAATTAGGCGTTTTGTTAACAGCCAAAGGGGTAATGAATACTTGGCGTTGAGGTGCTCTTTTTCTAGCATGTCAAGTGAGCTGAGAAAAAACTTGTGTTGAAAATTAGGTATTTTCGACACCATATAGTATAATTTACTAAGTGCTTTCAATTTGATGTGGTACTCTGCTCTGCTTGTACAGTATATCCTAAAGGCAGATTTTTTGGGATCGAGGCATAGATAGATGATCTTGATCGCCTCTGGTTTACCTCGCCGAAAGAAAGATCTTCCTTGGAAGTCGTCTAGAAAAGTTGCCAGCCCTTGATGCTCGTTCGCTAGAAGAGAAGAGAAGAGAAGCTGGATGAGGTATGGGTTGGTTGTCCTGGTGTTGCTGCTTCCATTTCGATATCCACAACGGAAGTAAAGGGATTGACTACTAGAGTCTTACAATAGATAGGGTTGCATTTGATTTGTCCCAATTCCATCAACTCATAAAATCCTGTTAGCTTCTAGTTTCTTGGATAGGTAGTGCCATTATTGTGTCTGCGCCAAACTCGGATAGGTGATCCGATCAGAGACACATTTTCTCAGCTCGAATGTGAGTACGTGTGGATTTTGACGCTGAAAATTACTGCTAGTAAGGCCAGTTTACAGCGTCATTTCCATACCTATTGCTCTGCAACGTCTTGCTGCTCCAAGGTTGGATCATCATCATGATGGAGACCTATCGCACTCTCAAAACCAAGAACTGCCATCCTTCTAAATTCATCATTGTCCGAATATAATCCTCCGACGAAATTCTGCAACCCCTCAATACGCTGCTTAATGGGATCTTTTATTTGACCAGTCCATTCTAAAATCTTGGTGATACCCAAGAAGAGCGGTTTGCCGAATCGTAGAGTGCTTGCGCCCAGTTTCACGCCCAACAAAGCAAGATTTGGGATAGTGAGGATTTTATGAATGAGATCGATGGCAAAGTTGTGGCAGTCGGATACATCAAGGATGTAGCGCCGTCGTTTGGCGATGATGTATTCGGCTGTTGACGCGTGAGGTTAGCTACGCTGTTTTGGGGGGAAGCAATATAAAACTTACCGATCTGATGAATCTGTCTAAAAGAGAAATGTGTCCTCCCCTGAAAAACTCGTTTGACCACATGGGGCATTTTTTTATAATTCATTCGGTCGATCAGGTCGTCATCCTCACCGGAGCGTGTCACTCGGAGTTGCGATCCATTTTCGTAATACTGCAATTCGTAGCGATACCAAAGACCTAACTGAGAAGATCAGACCTTGAAGAGGTGCGAAATATCTTGTCAGGCCTGATCTTGCTATTTCACAGACACACATAGTAAGTATAGATATGTATATACTTACCTCAACCGCCCAATGCTGAAAGATCAACAGCAAAGGATTCAACCCGGTTACAAAGCGCGACGGTGTGCCCATCCTTTCGATGGGTCGGGGTTTAGCTCTCGGTAAAGCAGACGAACTTCAAGCCCAGGAGGAAAGTTCCAGGGATACATAGGCGTGTACTGCTGGGGTGGCAGCATGGCTGACCAGGGCAATACGACCCTGTCGTAGTCTGGGGAGGGATTCAGGGAATAATCCCAGGGAACGTCATTATCGATCCCGAAGTCGACATCGTACCGAGTTTGGAAAGCTGGATGATTATATGATGAGCACTTTAGGAATAGGTCCCAATTTCCTGGAGTTGGATATCCTGTTGGGAATTGAGGAGGAAGGGAACCGAAATTTCTCTTCAGTGGCAGGGATTGATAAGGTGCATTTTGATAAGGAACAAAACCAGTTAGTCTGTAGATGGACCAAAATTCAGATACTGATACGGCGCTGCAGCAAACGACAGGCGGAAGGCAATTTGCAGGGGAAAGAAGGACGGGTTTGCTGATGGCGGAAGAGGCACTGGGAGGGGAGAGAATCGAAAAAACCACTGATATTGGCAGTCGCCGCAGTTGCACGATGGGGGGTCATTCTCGTCTGCACCAGCGTACGGAACATTCCACAAAACAAAGGCTTTCGGATCTCGAAGTGGAAACATGCCCGGTCCTGGAGAGGAGGACGTTGACTCGAAGTTCTGCGAGTGTTGACGCTCTTAGATAACAGAAGATGCTGAGACAGGTTGGGCGAAAGCATACCATCTTGGTGGTCTTGTCAGCTATTTTTGCAGGTGATTTTGATGTCCATACAAGCGCTCACATCAATCATGAAGAGGATCGCAAGCAAGGCATGAGTCATTGCTTAATCGAGAGAGATATATGTAGATATGGTCCGTTCAGTCTTTTCGTATCTGCCGAATCAAGTCGCATGCATTGCTGCCCAGCCGTAGTCGACAGCAACAGAGCAGACTAGAAAACGCAAAAGGGAAAAATGCCTGCTGAAGCAGCAAGCCATAAATGGCAAGCTTGGGATGATCGACAATAGATCGACAATAGGGCTGGCTGAAATGCAAGCAGAGTATCCGTGGCGTCGAATGAGATCCGAATAAAGAAAATCGATAGGATAGATGATAGGACTAGCTGGACCAGGATGAGGAAGGTAATCGATTGTCTATAGGAGATAATGATTGCAACTTACACAATCATTGCAAATGTTCCTTTCCAGCAATTGCGCCATGACGCGTATGGTCTTCAGGCGGGCATGCAGACCCCTCCTGTTCCATCTCCAGTGACCAGGACATGCATGGCTTCGGGTGGGCCTTGGGAGATGCATGCAGCTCCTGACAACCACCGTCGTGGATGTCTGGTTCTTGATCGTGGTGTTTGTGGCAGTCCAGCTCAAGAGGTTCTTGTCCACCAGCTCCAATTTTGCAGAAGTCTAGGTCGTCGTTTCCCTCGGCAACTGCGACTCCATCCTGAGGGACTCAAAGAGGGCAGCTTCGCCGTAATGTGTCGCTTCCTTGCCTGAGGCAGGTGGAAAGCCTGCAGCGTGGACACAATTGACAGTATTACGAGAGCAGCACAACCATTGATGCTTTTGGTCGTTCAAGCTGTTATAGCAGCCCTTCCTTCAATCCTGTACCCATTTTTCCAATCGCATTAAAATTTTGCTTTTCAAGTTCAATTCCGTCAATAGGTACAAAACATCTTTCCAATCACGGTAACTCTGACCTTCATTGCCCGATTTTTTCTGCCTAGAACAACGGCAACGAAATCGCGCGCTTGTATCCATTGAGCCAGAATCCTAAAGCTCTTCATTGTCTCTTTTAGTCGATCCGTTCACTTGCATGCATTTCCTGACGGCCTTCCATGGTTGCTTAAGAACAATCGTAGGGCTGCGAGATACACTCGGAGTACTCTCAGCAAATAGTAAAGTACACACAGCCTCTTTCGCAGCTGGTATAAAAAGCAAATTATCCAAGACAACACGTTGTTGGTTGGACCTCTGAGCTTTTGCTTTGCGATCCTTGTCTGAAGTTCCCAGTTGTCAGCAATTCCAGTTCGATCTTGAAGAGATATGGAGGTTCGGAAAGTACCTTTGGAAATCGAGCTTCTACTGCAGATTCGCAGAGTCTGGCTTTCAGTCTTCTAGCAAGATTCATGAGGTAAACCAGTTGTTGAGCCACCTCTCTCTGCAAGTGCATGATTGAAACTTCAAGTTGGTTGAGGTCCACCGACATCATCAGGGTAATGTTGCAAGGCGACATTGTGATGAGCGTGTTTAACAACGAATAATTGTCTGTTGATAGGATCTCTGAATTATGATTTATTACTGAATTGAAGAGAGGTCTACGACCTTTTATAATGCCTGTCTGAACGGCTTGTGAGGAGCAACTATGAGTGTGCCGTATAGAAATAGAAATCGACTCGCGAGTCGAATAGAAATCGGCTCGCACTGCGCCAAAAACGGCTCGCAGTTAGAACTGATGGTCTAGGCAAAGGACAACTTGCTGAATATAGGTTTGCTGCGGAGGAAAATTTTGTCATTTCTTCTTTGCCCTTTTTTCTTTGCGTTAGCATCTTCAACAGGTGCATCTTCAATAACCTTTCAGCTGAGATTGCTTCAATAGAGACCTCGTTGGAAGGGTCTGCTTCAACAGGGGCCTCTTCTGCAGGTAGCTAAAATGTATTCTGCTGCATGATTATTGGCTCCTATAGCTTCGCTGTTAGGTAGATAAGGTATCTTTCCCTTGTGGGAAACTCTTTTCTTCGTGCACTTTATCCAAGAGGATGGCCATGGTAGACATCAGTTCAAAACTTTCTATGCTGTATTAAAAAATATATAATGCGGCAGGTTTGGCAACTCGAGAAAATGACCGGATTGCGCAGACTTGTTTTATTTTTGAGTGTTGGGAGGGGTAAGATGCAGGTCTGAGCTGTCCAGCTTGTCCACAACCAATTATACCAAAGGACGGCTAAGACCCCTGTTGAAGCACGTCACATTCGCATACAAGGCTGACTCTTTGATCAATCTGCATATTGACCTTTCATTACCTACCTACGGTTGTGTATCTACAATGACAGCTCCTCGCTTCTTTCTAGCACTCAACACTTTTAGAAAAGAAAGAGAGAAAGAGAGGTTTGCGTCGGGCAAGGATTTCTGTTCTGCATGGCATCGCCCACAGTACCACTGGAAAAGAGAGCCTGTTATTGTCAACTTTATACAGGAATATAAACCTCAAACAACACAAAGATGCGGATGGGAGAAGTGACAATACCTTCGATGCTTTTAAAAAGAAAGTCGCCAGCCCAGAAGGGCTCTGAGAAGTCACTGAATTTATGGCAAGTCACCGAGCTGGGTCTCGCCCAGTTGATCGTGCTCGCATCGCAGACCTGGGCGCGTTCGACCTGTGTTACCGTACGACCTTTGAGGATGGCTTCTTCTCTTCCCTCTTACGCTTTCCCATGCCCCGGTAGGATTAATGTTCCCCGAGGAAAAAGTCCGAAATGTGGTTGCTGTCATGAGATTTCTTAGGCAAAATACAAAAATTCTGGTGCTGGAAGCGGTTTGGGCCCTTTCATTCTGATGGAATATATCGCGAATGCCTCCAACCTTACCACCCAGATGAGAGCTCCTGGATACAAAAGGGGTGACCGTCCAATCCTCAACGCGCACATTGAGGGCACCAAGCTCGAGTTTTTCTACAGTCAAGTCGCGGATATCCTGCTGGAACTCTCAAAGCCCTCATTAGACAAAATTGGTTCTTTGGCTGGCGATTCAACTTCTTGGTCGATCGATGACCGGCCATTGGCAATGAATATGAATGAGCTTGTCCAGCTTGGTAACTTCCCACGCAGCAAACTGCCATCCTCTACCTTTGACACTGCTTCATCTTATTATCAGATGTTGGCCGAGACTTATTTCACGCATCTATCAACACAAGGGAATGATGCTGTTGAATCTGAAAAAGACTACTGTTGTAAATATATAGCCAGACAGCCCTGTCTTGAAACATCCTTCAAGTTCCCAAAGTCCGAGAGGATGCTGCCATCTGCAGTGGAACTTTGACAGACGCACAGCGCCTCTCTGGACGGATGCCGGAGAGCTGGGAGAATGGAGACTTCTGGGTCAACTACGGCGCGCGGAAAAGTTGGGCATTCGAAATGAAATTTTATGGTGGCGGTGATCGCGAAGTCTTGAGGAGCGTACTGCCCTGCTTTGCAGTGAGAAGAGAATGATGCTGCTCAAAGACCAGGAGAAGGAGGAAATGAAAGATCTCACCTGGAGAAAATTAGAGGACAGGAAGCACCGGAAGTTGGATGACTGGGATGCTGCCTGAGTGGAAAGGTCAAGAGGGGATATTGTTATTCATCAACAGCTGCATCTTCTTACAGACAGATGAAGGATGAAGTCGATCTGAGATCTGGATTTGTCGAAGGGTGGACAAAGAACGAGTGGCCCACACCATCGGTCCAAAAAGTGGGTTATCGTTATGGCTGCATAGGAACAATGGCACAGGTGAATTGCCAGCTTGGAGCCTGTTTGGCATTGGGTGAGATCGGACACGAGGAGATCATATCAGGTGGAGTTACTCTGTACTTCCCATCACCGGGTGCCGGACCGACTGGCGGGATTTAAAGACGCATCCATATGTTTTGACAGTCCTAGTATGTGTTGCCTGCCGTATCCACCGTTGACTGGTTAATTTTCCTCACGATTTAATCAGACTCCAGACTCGACTGCTTTGGCGTGGCGATAATGACGATCATGCGCAAAGGCCACCGGCGGACCGGCTGATGGACCGTGGTGGGGCTGCGGGAGGAGTCGCAAAGTTTCGTCGGGCTATATCACAGAATAATCAACAAAATTCACGCAGAAAAGTTCATGTGAGACAATCAGATATCCTGGCTATTCGCACGTGCGAGATATCAGCTAACAACCATGATGGCCTGGCAGTGGGGTGTGTTCATTGATAGTCGACTTGATTCGAGCGATGAAACTGCGGGTACACCCAAACTAGGCTAATGATGCAGGCACGTACAGTTACAGTGTACATCATCAGGGCCACTGCAGTAATCTGATGAACTCTCAGATTTAAGGCACGAACTAAGCCTTGATCGTCAATCGCTTGGACCAATGCGGCATTCGCCGTCCAATCATCGAAGCCCGTCTTTGTCTCCTCCCTCCTGTCGACAGCCTACGCCGGTACCTGTCTTGGACGTGTCCACAAATTATCCAGATGGGGGCCGGTTCGCGAGGGACTGAAATTCTAACGTGCGTCTTTGTCCGCTAGACTCGGTGTTGCATTGGCAGGAAGCTTGTAGAAGTAGGTGGATAGTTAGGTCGGTAGGTGAATATCAGTAATACGTACTCCACCGTGATCATTGTTGTTATTGCCGACTGCAACACCACACAAACATAATATGGCTCGTCTCTGGCTGACAGCTCTCGATGGAACCAGATCCGCTGATTCCACAGAGCGCTTGGCTCCTCGCCCAAGCCAGCGTCGCCGCCGGCCATAAGACGCTGTGCCAATTCGCGTCCACCTTGCGTATCCCAGGCCGTCAGCAGAAGATGACCAAAAATAATGACATCCCACTCACAATTGGCCCTGGAAGAGATGGGGCATTGAGTAGTTATACCGGTTTCTTGTCCGCCTTCGAGCAGGAGCAGTCCCTGACGAGTGCGTTTGAGTCGTGGGAGGCAACCATGAGAGAGTTACCGTCTCTGCTGCGGCAGGGACGCGCTCACAAGGCGATATGTAATCTGCCCTCGCTATTGCCCGAGCTGGCCCGTCTCGAGGAGCGATACTTGTCTCGCGCCGCTATTGTCATCAGCTCACTTCTCCACAGTTTTGTCTATGAAATGCGGAACCTGGGCCATGATAGTTCCACGATCGATTTGCCAGACAATTTGATGGCAGCATGGGACTATGTCTCGTCGCAGCTCGGACGACCGCAGACGGTCCGGATGATCGCAGATGACATGCTGAACAACATTCGGCGACTTCCGGGCCCGTCCGTCTGTCTCTCAACGGAGTACTTCGACATGCAGGAGGAGCGCATGTCCGTCGGGCTGCAGGTCGAGATGGAAGAAGCATTTGCACCCGCTCTGGAGATGATGACCAACGTGCAGAAAAACATTCTTGCATGCGACGACTGCGCCATCATGAAGGAGCTCGGAGGCATCGCAGAGCGCATCATTGCATGCGCAGCCGCCTTCTGCTCGGTGTCATTCCGACATGGCCAGGACGGATTCGACCCCGTCTTCTGGGGTAAAACGTATCCAGAGATTGGGAGGCCGCTTCGCTCCGGCGGACTGACCAACAGCGGTGTCAATTCGCCCTTGTTCCACGCCCTGGATTCTTTCCTGGGCACGATCGACCCGACAGATGACCTTCACGAGCAGCAGATTGCCCGCCGTGTGCTGCTGCCGCATCCGATCCGGCGCTTCATCGAGGAGCTCGAAGATCCCCGATATAGCATTCGATCGTACGTCGAATGGAGCGGTTCACCTGCCGTCGCCGCTTCGTTCCATGCAGTGCTTCAGACCTACGCTTGGTTTCTTGAGAGACACCGGGTTAGGGCCATCAGCGCTATCAGTATCGCAATTGCATCGGGGCGGCCGCGGACTGCCGGGGGTGCTCAGCAGGACCGCCTGAAGATCCCTCTGGATGAAATGCTCAATCGCCAGATGCAGGGGGCGATTGAGAGGCGTCTCCGGGGTCTGCCACAGACGTTGACAGCGAAGGTAGTTTCTGTGGCGTTGGCAGGGAGGAAGGCAACGTCGCTGACGCTTCTTTTCCCTTGTCCCTTGCCCGTGGAGGCCGGCGACAGGATTCAGATCTGGCCACGAAGTAGAGTTGGTCCTTTGGAAATGGCTCAAGTCCAGCGGATTGTGGGCGAGAAGTTGGAAGCAGCCGATCTCGCTGCCTTGCAGGACGCGCTGGCGTCTCGTGACTTGCGGCCGCTGGTCACGATGGAACGTCGACCAGGCATCTCTGCCCAAGTCCTGCTCGACACACTGCCTGTCCTTCGCCCACGGCATTACACAGTGACCCAAGTCGAAGCAAACGTCGACGGCCTGGCACAACGCGTCGTGCTCACCGTCGCCCACTGTGAAGGCTTCTCGGCGGAATTTCTGCGACGAAGCGTGCCTGGTCAACTCCTTACCACAAGACTGATCCCAGAGCCGCGGTTTCGACTTCCAGCCGATGACAAGATACCATTATTGCTAATCGCACAGGGCGCTGGGGTGGGACCGTTTCTGGGATTTCTCCGCAAGCGAGCGTTGCGCAGCAATGGCAACGTGGGAGCTGTGACCCTCGTTCTCGGTGCAAGAGAACCAGAAGACGTTCCTTACCGGGAGGAATTGGCTGTCCTCTCGCAGCGACTGCCCTTGACAGTGCACCTGGCCCTGTCTCGGAGTGAAGGATGCACCATTCAGCGCGGCGAGGAGAGCCGATGGGACAGAGTAATGAAAGCCCCTGACATCCTGGTCAGCTTGGAAGCAGACATCAAGACACAATGCAAGGAAAAGGGGGCGCATATTTATGTCTGTGGCAGTGTTGGCTTCGGGTCGTCAGTTCGCTCCACCCTGCTCGGGATGGATGTGATCGATGAGAGCCGGTATCATGAAGATTGTTTCGGAGGCCACGCCCCAGTAGTCACGCGAAGAGAGGTGACGGTTGCAGAACTCGCCCGCCACAACAAGCCTGACAGCCTGTGGATGGCAATCGACGGAATTGTGTACGACCTGACCACTTTCGCTGAGAGCCACCCGGGAGGGTTGAAGACATTGATCGAGTCCGCCGGAACAGTGGCTGATCGTCGATTCTATCTGGTTCACTCGGGGGACTACAGCCAAGGGATCATCACGCAGATCGCTCAATTCGCGATAGGGCCGTTGCGTGAAGGGAATCTGTCTCCAAGCCGGATCCAGAAGCTGTCGCAGATCGTGCAAGCGCAGAATATCCTGTCCAACAATACGTCCTGTGCGCCGGGGCGCAAGATGCCGTTCTTCATCTACTGCGACAGTCTGCTCGTCTCTCGAAAGGACCTGGAGAGGATTGCAAGGAATGTGCAGGACAACACTGTCCCGTCGGGACTGTTCAACGAGCTGGAGAAACTCTTTACAGATCTCAGGACGGCCAGCTGGCAATTCCTAGCTAATGCTCTCGACACGCCATTGCCAGAAAGAGAGAACAAGGTGCTGTCTACATATTCGACGCATTGGGCAGAATTCGATGCACTGTTTGAAGAACTGAAAGATCTATGCTGTGACAATAGTAGCGACGATGATGAACATAATGATAATGACGAAAATTTTGTCACGAGATTCGACACGATATTACGAACAAATATTGCGAAAATGATGGAGTCTGTTAAAAACGGAATTCAAGCGTTAACGTGCGAGCCGTTAATGGGCGGACAGAATTGACCTATCGAAATTTGTATACCTTGCAGCTGCAGTCTGTATTCGACGAAAAGGAACTAGTATATTGTGACGCTTCAGGTGTCTCGCGGTAAACGTGCTTCCAGCGTGATGCCTATCAGATGAAATCTGGAGCTGCCGGTGCAGAATCAGGATCATCTTCAAGGCCACTTTCAAGAAGCAAGAGTCAAGAACCCTCCAGCAAGGATAGCAGCATCACAGCCAGGCAATGGAAGCGGAATAACAGCGAACAGAGAGTCACTACTTTACTCTCGCCCTCCTTCATCATCTTGTTGTTTCCCCGCGCAGTTCGAAAGCGACGTCAAAGTGATCCTCGTTAAGGCAATGGACAGCCTCGGAGATTCTGTTCTGTCATGAGGCCAGATCCCTAGGCTTGCTACCATTTTTCACGATACCAGAAATGTAGATACTGGTGCTCGTTTCCTTACGGGTCAGAATACTAGACATATGTTTTATTGCCAATCGATGGTTTATACACAAGAAACTACCGCTAGCTGACTCTTGACCGGCACATTCTCTTCCCTCCCCAGGCGCGGAAATCCAGTGACATGAACTCCTTTCCGAAACACCAGGCAGTGCGTCGACCCTCCAAAGTGGAACATGCCGATCTGGTCACCCTTCTTCACCCTCTGCCCCTTCGACACGGTAATGTCGCACGTCGACACTTCGGCCATGCCTACACCGACAAAGGCCACCAGCCCCACGGCCGGGTCGTCGGCTTCGATGAAGATCAGCGCCCGCGTCGCCGTCGCTGTGAGATAACCTTGCGAGGTCGTTTCGCCTCTGACGTCGATGCCGTGCGAATCTGGGTCTGGATCCCCCAGTCCTTCAAACAGCGGTTCCGAGTAGTACGTCCCGTCGACGACGTAGGCGTTGACCACCGTCCCACTGACGGGCGCGTGCCAGCGGTGGTAGCTCAACGCGCTGAGATAAGCCTGGTATACGGTGCCACCGACGAATTGCTCCGCCAGGGGATCGTGCGCTAGCATGTCGCGGATGGAGTAGGGCTGGCCTTTCATCCAGAACTGGTCCCGGGCTTTCACGTCCGTCGCGATATTGTACGGCTGCGACTCGCAAGCGTTGGCAATGACTCGAGGGTCATCCGGCGACGCAACAGGGCGCACGCCGTCGCGGAACGTCCGGGTGAAGAAGTGGTCCCAGGACCTGTAGCCGTGGTGCGGCGCGGCCGGGTCGCAGTCGAACAGCTGGTCGAAGGAGTAGGTAGTGACGCCGACGTTGGCGACGGCAGTCAGCTCGTGGACGCCGTGGGCGTTGAACCAGCCGCTGGCAGAGTCGTCCAGGACGGAGGCCGACTCGGGCGAGCAGAGGTATTCGCTCCAGGCGTTGAGCACCTTCTTGATCATGGCGTTGACGTCCGGGTCAAGGAAGGCGGCGAAGCCGCTGGGGGTGCCCATGGGCCAGTCGAGGATGGCACTGATGGGGACGCCGACGAGGCCGAGGCGGTTGGAGCGGTCATTCCACGAGGGGGCGCTGGTGAGGACACGGTTGAGGACCTGGAGGAGGTGCTCGTAGTCGCGGATCTGGGGGTGGCCGGTGGGCGAGTCGCGGTAGGGTTTCTTTTTCGGAATCTGCTGGAACATGGACTGGAAGAGCATGTAGACGCGGGTGTTTTTCTCGATCAGGTCCTTGAACTCCTGCAGCACGGGGTGCAGGGGCTTGTCGGGGTGGCCGTCAACCTCCGAGACGAGGCCTTTGAGCCAGTCTTTGTGCACGCGGTGGTCATCTGGGAGCCATCTGCCGACTCTACATAAGGTCAATTGAGGCAGATGCCAGGTAGCGGGTACTGTTATGCACCCACCTCTTAACGTGCTCCTGCTTGGGTATACTCTCGTGTTTCTTGGTCATTTGCCCGCCGTCTGTCTGGATTACCTGTTTTGGTATGGAGATGTATGTATTGACAAAGTCACGGTTGAAGTCCAGTCATGAATGAATTATTTTACACTTAAGAGTAATATCCCCATAGACATACATTACCCTCGACGAGAAATGCGTCCTGCATCATCACAGTGACGTTGTGTTGTGCCGTTGGTTGGTCGTTGGTTCAACCGGTCGGGTGAAAGCCATGGATATTATTAGCAGAAACAGAAAAACCCTAACTCAATCGTACAATCAGAAGCTAGTTACTAATTCCAGGAATAACCGCATACCGCATACATATAAAGTAAAATTAATAATCCTCGTCATAGAGTGAGCTACATACACTGTTGACAGTCAAGTAGTCAATGTTTGATCAGAAACTCCCAACGCCACCAGTATCATACGTATACCCTACCCATCGATGTCCCTCATTCTGTAGCAGTCTCGTCAGATAGACAGATACTCCGTAGACAGATAGACAGATAGATAGAAATGCTTGCTGCTTCCTTGCTTGCTCCGATCATCATCTAGATTCTGTACACAGTCTCGTCGTCTTCGAGGTACCTGCAACAAACAAGTCAGTTAGATAAGAATGACGGTGTGAAGAAGAATAGTAGCCATCCTTACATTAACTCATTTCTCTCGTTCATCGCCTTCAACGCTTGAATAGCCTCTGCCCGCTGGAAGACATGCGGCTCGCCCAGCGATGGGTTCGCCCGGATCGCCGTATTGACGGCTCCGATCAGCGTTTCGACATCGGCGCTGTCGTCGTTGACAAACAGGCGCGTGCCCATCAGCGGTCCCAGAGCCTGACGGAAGGTTGCCAGTCGCGCCGGCTGCAGTGGTGCTGCAGAGCTGGCCTGCGACTGCGTGGTGTTCTCGTCCGTCTGGGAATCGATCAGCTGTGACGCCGGTCGTGATGATGCCACCGACATCTGCGACTCGCTCTGCGTCTGGTTCCGCGTCGTCCGGCTCGACTGCGTGCGCTGCGCCCGGGAACTGGCGTCGTACAAGTCATCGCCGTCCTCCGACACGTCGTCCGTATCGGCAGCGCGATTCGCTGCCGCACGCGTCCGCAGAGTCCCGCCCCGTCTGCTCGACCGTGGTGTCGCAATAGATCCGTTCCGCGTCGTGGGCTGGTCGCTGTCATCGTCCGAGTCTGACTCACTCATCTCGTCGTCGTCGTCAG